CATCTGCTACTACAGGTGACAGCTGATATCTCAGCACCTGGCTTTGTCCTTTTACCCTTTTGTCCTTTGTCCTTTTAGGATGTTCATATGGCATCCTATGCAAGTTTATCTACCAGAGCCTCAGTTTTCCCATCAATAAAATGGGGATTACAATCAGACACAATGGTGGAGGCCTGCAATCCCAGCCACCCTGGAGGCTGAGGCAGGAGGATCACAAGTCTAAGGCTAGTTTGGACTGCAAAGTGAGTTCAAGGTCAGTCTGGGCAACTTAGTGAGATGATGTCTCCAAGTAAAAACAGAGAGGCAGCCTAGAGGTAAAACTCATGGTAGCATGAGTCTAGCATGTGGGAGGCCCTGGGTTCAACCCCCATCCCCAGTACTGGGGAGGGGGGGTGAATGAGGTATTAATTAAAATTCCTGCCTCACAGGCATGTATCTGCTGGAGCGTCTGGTCAAGTACCTGACATGTACAAAGCCCTTGGTGAGTAGCAACTGTGAGCTCCGATTTGTATCTCGGGGTCTCTGCATCTTTTTAAAATGTGGAGTAGGGTTTACAAGTAAGTTGGGTAGGACAGATCAGAGCTGAGTGCCTGGCAGGTAAATGTCCTCTTAGGTCTCTATACTATATGCAAGGCTACCAATAAAAAAGGTAGCCTGCTGGAATGCTCGGAATTTTTGGAGCCTTCTCAGTAGGAATGTGTGACAGACAGGAACCTGTTAGGGGTGGTAAGAATCAAGCCTGGTTGACCTCGCTCATACCTCACAGCATCAAAGCCTGGCCTGGCCCAAGGCCTCTCTGTCCCAGCACTGCTGTGCCCCTTACCCATCAAACACTGTGGCCCTTTGTTCCTTCCCAGAAGCAGAAATAGCAACCATAACCTCCATCTGTCAAATGTCTGCAATGTGCCAGGAGTTTTCCACATATTATCTCACATAATGAATACTGTTAATCCTGTGAGGTTTTTAAACATCTTTTTTTTTAAGTTTTTAAAAATTATCTTTATTTTGTATGAGTGAGTGCATTGCCTACATGTATATAAGTGCACCCGTATCATGCAATGCAGATGTCAGAAGGTCAGATCCCCTGGGTCTGGAGTTACAGATGACTGTTAGCCACCATGTGGGTGCTGGGACTCAAACCCAGGTCCTCTGCAAAAGCAGTCAGTGCTCTTAACTGCTGAGCCATCTCTCCTGCCCCTTAAACATCTTTTTTAAAGATTTATTTTGATTATTAATTTTTAAATTATGTGTATGGGGGTGTGTGAGTGCACATGAGTGCAAGCTGCCTGAGGAGGCCAGAGGCCTCATGTTCCCTTGGAGCTGGATATGGGTCCTGGGATCTGAACTCAGATCCTCTGCAAGATCAGCATGCACTTTTGAGAGCTGAGCTATTCTCCATCACCCTGTGAGGTTTTTATCCCTCTGGTCAGGTAAGAAATGAAGCTTGCCAGAGTCACTCAGGTAGAAAGTAGCTGGGCTGAAGGCTGGAGAGATGGTTCGGCTGGTAAAGTGCTTGCTGTGTAAGCATGAAGACCTCACAGAACCCAGGACTAGGGAGGGAGAGAGACAGGAGGCTCTCTGGGGCATGCTGGCCAGTCAAACTAGCCACATCAGTGAGGCTCTGTCTCAAAAACTAAGGTGGCAGATGACTGAGGAAGACACCTGATGTTGACCTCTGGTCTCTACACATATGTGCACACAAGTGCCTGTGTACCTACCTACATACACATGCACATACATAGATAACTGGACTGAAATTTAACTCTAGTGCTCACACAGGCAGACACTGGTATACAACTCATTTTGAGGCACTGTCATGGTGTCCTTTCCAGATG